TTCTTCAAGGCCACGTGAGAGAAGCAGTGATTCACCCTCTCTAAGCCCCTCGGTAGCGCAGGGATAACAATACCGCCGAGAAATTCATGTTGCTGTTGATTAAGAAAGAATCTCTCTTTAAAATGATAAATAAAAGGCTTTAGAATAAATGTGTTTGAGTTGCTCTCACTCAGGCACCGGGAGGAACAGGTTACTGAACATCTACAAGAGCAAAACCCACATCTTCCATAAGCTGATGAGACGAGAAAGGTCCTGTTGATGAGAGACATGCTATCTGCAGGCATGTTTGAAACAGTCCCCAGGTCATTAGGCACATTGAGAGACAGGTCAGAAATGTACACAGGCACGCTAGGCCTTTCTTAAATACAGTAAAAGCTTTGGTATCCGGCATGTTGGGGGAACGGGGGGTGCTGGTTAATCAAATATTCCAGTTAACTAAGAGTTCTACTTACCAGTGGAATACCAATTTTCAAAGAATTAGAATACAATAAAATTAATCAAGTAGGAGATAGTAGACAGGTACTCCCCAGTCCCGTAGTAGTCCTGCACTGCCGAGGGGTTGGTTTCTTGGAGGTGTAGACAGGTAACGTTTTCTATACAGTAGGTTATCTGATGACGCTATATATCGCTAGGGGCAGCGCCTGGCATACACCCAGATCACTAAAAATACACTTAACACTAAAACTAGACTGACCATAATGTAATCTTTCTTTGATGATTCAGAAGGCACTTCAGGATCTTGCAGTGCCGCAGCGTCATCATTATCAACCTCCGTTATCATTGTAGATGGAGAAGGTGGAGGAGATTGGGCTGAATCTGTAATGACCCTGACACACCCTGGAAGCTGCTTTTTTTAAATAAATCTCTGATATCAGCTTGCTTACATGTCTTCTGCCTCTTTTGCATAGAAGTAGAGTGCGGGATGTGCAATTGCATAACGTGCTGGGCAGTATACTCGTCCCGGTTACTAGATTGAAGATTTGTATTGGGAGAGATCAGAAATGCCGGCTAATAGAGCTTTCCCGTTGATAAAGTGCCGGGTAACACCGCTTTTACTGTAGATTGGAGGCAAAGAGCCAGATTCTCAGCTCGTGTAGATCGGAGTTCGCCCCATTGACTTCCACGAAGTTATGCTCATTTATATGAGCCGAAGTTCTGGGCTAAGTTGTGTATTAGGCACATGTGCAAAAGTTACCAGCTGGGTGGAAGTGAAGGGTTTCCGAGACGTCTAGGTGGAACATGTGTTTGTGTATGCGTGTGTGTGTGCGCCTCTGTGTGTTTATGTCTGCACATGGGTGGCGGGGTGTGTTTATGCCGGTATGTTTCGCGCTGAAGTCGTATCTTGCAATTCTGTATCATCATCCAGGCTGCCTCAGAGATCAGCGAGCGCCCCCTTTCTGCCATTCAGAGCAAATCTCAGTGGTGGTGCCGCTCACGCCCCTGCAACCTGTAACACAGCTCAACAGCTGCTAGAGGAAATTCCTCAAGGCTTCAGCTGATGCCCAGTGGCAGCCATTTCCTGTGCACGTCTGTGGGACGAATGTGAACGGGCTATGCTAAACACAAGCTACAGGGTCACAGAAATGCCTCTGGCAGCCTGAGGGTGTTCTCTGGGACAGGCTGCATGGAAGTAAAGCCTCCCAGACTAGGCACTGGACAGGGATTCAGGAGATCTGGGTTCAGATCCCAGCTCTGCTCCACACTGCCTTGGTGACCTCGGGCAAGTCACTTCACCTCAGTGAGTGAGGAACTTCGGACCTGTGCCCCATGCTCCATTGCCGTGGGATCACCTGTACGTAGGTACTGTTGGCTAAGGGCAAGTGTGACATCGGTGCATTGTCCTCTCTTGGGGGGACTATCACCTGCCGTGGCAGGGGCATTTTGCTTTCTAACTCCTATTGGCCCAATAGTTTTTGCTCTGGAAGCTACGCTGTGATCTCTGACTCATGGGGGGTTGTGGGTGTGGCACTCCCAGGCCAAGTACTGAGTTTTCCCCACGGTGGGCTCGCCCACGTCCAAGTGCTGTGGATGACCCTGGCTATGGGGGGAGGGATAGCTCAGTGGTTTGAGCATTGGCCTGCTAAACCCAGGGTTGTGAGTTCAGCCCTTGAGGGGCACACTTGGGG